AGGGCAGCCGCGGCCGGCGCCTCTGGGGCGTCTGCGCGGCGCGCGCTACGCTCTGCTGCCTCGCCCTGGGCGGCCACCCCACGCCTCCCGCGTCGCCGGGGTCTTCGCGCGGAGCAAGCCGGTTCTCCCAAGGGGTCGACTCGCCAAAATGCAGAGGACCGTCCTAAAGCGTGTCACGGCGCAAACCTCTCCACCTTATCTTCCAGAGATGCCGATTTGGGACTGTGTTTTCCGAGAAAAGGGGAGTTGGACAAAAAGGCTCCGTTTACCCTAATGGAGAAGGCGCAAGGAGAATCAGAAGATAACGCAATGTCCACTTCCTGAAGAATTTAAAAAAAAAAAAAAAAAAAAGAGCAACCCGGGTTGGAGGTGTCCGTTTTAGAGCTTACTTCCTTTCCTTTCGGCTCGATTTTCCTTCTCGAGGCGCATTTAATCTGCTGGAGAAGGAGAAGAAGGTGGGGGTGGAGTAGCAATGGAAGAGAAAGAAGTTTGCCAAGAATAAAGTTTATGCCGGCGAGCGCTGGAACAAGGCAGTGGAGGGCGCGGCGGGGTCTCGGGGAGTCACAGCAGGGGTCTCGATCCCAAATGCTTCTGCCCAGAGTTCGAGCCGACACACACACAGCCCGACCCCTCTTTGTTCCCGGCTCGAGTTTCTCAGCCTGGCTCGCAGGCTCTCTCTTGCCGCGCTCCACGCCTCCGCGGGGCCCGCTCTGTCAAAGCAAACAGCTGCGCCCCTCGGGTTCGCTCGGCCGAGGGGTAAGGGAGGCCGGGAGCTTGGTCGCGTGCGGGGCTCCGGGAGCGTCCCGGCTCCGCGGCTCCAGAGCGCGCAGTCCCAGTTCCTCCTCCGCGCCCTGCCCCGCAGGTGAGCGGCTGCACCTCCCCACCGCTTCTCCTCCTCCCGCGCCACGCCGACGCTACCCACTTGCGTCGCTTCTCCTCCCCCTCCCCTCCCCCGCCTCCAGCTCTCTCGGCTGCCCGCTCGGGGCGGGGGGGGGGGGGGAGGTGCGAGAAGGAGGTGGTGATTGAGGGCTTTTTTTTTCTTTTCCCAGAGCCGGTAGGACGAGTCCTAGTTTTGGGGTGTGTGTATGTGCGTGCGCGCGCGTGTGTGTGTCTGGAGGGATGGATCAGGCAACTTGGCGAGGAAAGGAAGGCTCGGGCGGTGCTTGTAACCCACGGAGAGACTCGCTTTGTCCGCGTGAAATTGACAAACTCAACCCGAGTGGCTTAACTTCTTCATCTAAGTATCTCTTCCCTTGTCTCTCCCCACCCCCCGGCCCCATTCCTCTTCCTCTGCTAGTTTCTCCACCACCTCCTTTCCGCCTCCCTCACTCCCTCCCGCTCTCTGGCCCGGGGAGGAAGATGAAAGAGAAGCCGCCGCCGCTGTGATCGACACCACATTGATAGATGCTCTGACTGGGGGATGAGGGGGAATCGGGGACAGAGAGAAGAAGCAAGGGTGAAAATATAACAGACATTGCTCAACTAATAAGGGAGAACGGAAGCAAGAAGGACAAGGAAAAGAGTTGTCATTTATCACACACGCTATTTGGAGACAAGGGAGGAGATGCCAGCGAAAATAAAATCTTCAAGCTTACCGAGAAAAATAAGACGAGGAAGAAGGAACGGAAGACTGGATCTTAATTATCACTTGTAAAACAATATCTCTTTCATTATGTCCTCGCCACGGGATATACGGAGTCACGCTAGATCGCTCGTGGGTTTGCGAAGGCACACGCTGCAGTGTATGTGAATGAAAAAGACAACCCAAGCCGGCAAAGAGGAGGCAAAAGGACCCAGGAGAGCGAATCCAGAAGAGGGAGGGAGGACTGGGCAGTCCCTGGCACCTTGGACTGCTGCGCTCAAAGGGACGCTTGAAGATTCAAATCCGAATCCAACCTCAAAAATTCTTCAGCCCCCACCGTCTCTTTGATGCATTTTGTACAAGGACAGAACTTTTAAGGAGATGCTTTGTGAAAGTTACAGTATAAGCGAAGCTGAAGTTTGAAAACACGTTACATTTTGTCCCTTGGCTCTCAAACCCCCTCAGTTAAAAATCCAGGCAAAATTATTGTACCCAATACAGTAGCCATCTGTAAAACCTCAGAACAGTAAACAGGAGGCATGAAGAAATGTGTCTCCATCTCACTTGAATTGCAAATGAGGAACACACTACGAAACCACACTTTAGCTCTATTGCATAGAAATGACCATGCAAAGACCCCTCTTCTTTTCCTAAGGGGATATTGCAGGCTGCTGGACGTGGCATACAATACTCTAAATGAGCACTTCAAACTTCATCTACTGGTAACTACTTCGTGGGGGTGGGATTTTAATATGGAAGCAATTTTTAAAACTGTATCTTTTAAAGCATTCAGTTGGTCCCATAGAGCATGTAAATTCTATCTGGGGGATTAGTGTAAAATTAAGGGGCTGGTAAGGGAAGCCAGGAAGAATAAAGCATTAAATCCCCTTTAAATAGCTTACAATACTATGCCTTAGAGAAGAAAAACAGAAAGAATATTCAGCTACAGTCCATCTGAAAGGCAATGCTATAAAAGTTGGAAAGAAACCCAATTTTTGTTCTTTTGGGTGGTGATAGTATGCAGCTTCCCTTAAAGTTATGCATGAGTGTCAGTATAACGCGCCCCAGAGATGTTAACACGTAGCTATGTCAGATATGTGTACCCCCTATTCTAAAAGAGATATGGAAAAACAAAGTCAAAAGTCCTCTGCGCCAATTTACGGATAGGAAAAGGTCTGGAAAATACATTTTCACCAGAGCAGCCAGAGTAGACGTTCCTTAGCATCAAACTATCCAGGATGGGGTAAAAGGGGCCAGGAAGTGTGAGCATCACACAGAATGGCCAGAGGGTATTTTCCGAAAGCCGAGGAAAGATTAAATGACTCCTACATCCCCCTTGTTTAAGTGTTGCAGTTAATTCGAATCCCATTGTCTCCTTCATGTTAATTTCTGGACTCCCAAAGTCATTTGGAGCTCCGCTCCAGGTGTCCTGGAGATTAGGAGCTAAAGAAGATGGGAATTTTTGGAACAATAACTGATGGGAATTGTTTACCAGAAGGGCCAGGGGTTGGTGGCCACATTTGGTATTTTGCTGTAACCTCCTCCTTTGGAAACATTGTTTCTAACGAAATCACCCAACGCCCTGCTTATTTGCGGGACTGTCCTCCCCGCAGTGTGCGTTGGTGTTGGTTGATTGTTTTTAGCACTGTTGCAAATCTTCTGATGGGCTGCGCTTAAAGAGACCCTTTAATAGACAACACGGACCCAAAATTCTTAAAGATTTGTCTGGGAGCGAGTTGACATTTCCACGTGAAGACTGTTTCTTCTGGGGCAAAAAGCAGGGGGACGCAAAAGGGGCGAGGTAATCCCGGGAAGACGTTCCCTGTCTCCCTACAGGTTTGCTGTAGTCCCTGTCAAGGGCATTTCTGTCTCCGGGCGGCCTCTTTTAATTCCTGTGGGGGCTGCTATTAGCATATGCAGCCGCCTCCTCGGGTGCCCGAGTGGGATCCCAGGTCCGGGATGTGGTGGGTGAGGAGCAGGATAAACACCCTCCCTCCCTCTCGGATGTAGAGGCAGGTTGTTCGTGTGAACTCGAGCGAACGACTGGAGGTCGGTTGTGGCAGGTTCACTCCTCCAGGATGTGGGTTTCAGGGGGCGTTTTGATGTGATTGAATTCCGATCGTGAAACAATTGCTAGGGGCTGGCTGGATTGCTGTTGGTTTTTCCCCTCCTGGTGGCTTTGGTTGGTTTGTGTGGGTTTAGTTTGGGAGCGAACAGCGACTTGTTTTATATCAACACTTCCTTCTGCACTGGGCGCCTAGCGGGCGCTGCGCGTGGGGGGTAGGAGGTGGTGAGGCGCCCACCCCGCGGCGGGACAGAGGAGAGGGGGGAGCGGAGACGGGGCTCGCTGCTCACAGAGTAACTGGGGCCCAGCCCCCGCCTTGGGGGCAGGGGAACAAGAATAATGACCCACACCAAAAGACCACTCCCCCAGGCGATTTTGCTGCCAAGTCAATCAGTCTGCTACAGACACTCAAGTGAGTCCTTAATTACAGGGGACGAGGGAAAAGCGCGGTGTCTTCAGAGTCCTCGCCGCCCCCTCGGCCCTAACCCCGCGCCCAGGCTCCGGGTCGTCCCCATTGTGTGGGCTGGAATCTCTCCCAGACACAACTTTGGTGGGATCCCAAAGGAAGGAGGTGGTGGGGTCCTATGTAAGAGAATGCTCGAAAAGCGAGAAGCAAGGGGGAAGGACCAGAAGAACGAATAATGGGATTCCAGAGGCGGAACTCGGGCACCCTCTGTTCCCCAACCCCAGATTCACCAGGAGACTGAAGCTGTGGGCATCTTCAGAGTAACGGACTTCGCGAGAAGCGAGAAAACGGGGGTGAGGGAAATGGCAGTTTGTGGCCCAGGGGCTCTTCCGCCTCTTGCCTACTCCAAAGACAAACAAAGTCAAACCCTCACCCGCCGGGGAAACAGAGAACTCGTGGGACCGTGAAATGTCGTTCCCAAATCCGGTCGCCTGCGACCGCCGGGCTTCCGCAGCTCGGTGCAGCCTCGCGCGGCCGGAGCGAGCGGGGCCCGCCTGCGGAGGGCATTGTAGCCGCCCGCCCCTCGCACCTTCCCCAGGCTTTTTTCGCGCTCATGCGTATGCGGAGAGAGCACAGCGTCCGCGCCTCGCTGGGGAGGGCGCGGAGGCGAGACCGTTGAAGGGCCGGGTACTCCTACGGCCGGCAGGGAAAGCCATATTCCACTCCACTCTGTGGGCACTGCCGGCTGACCCTTTGCCAACCCGGAGGCCAGAGCTCACGGGAGACTGCCCGGTGCGAGAGGAGTTAAGCCAGGGTGGCCGCAGGCA